TTTCGCATGATATCAAGAATTATTCAGACCTCGGTCTATGTTATCCGCCTCAGCTTCGCTTCGGCAGATAACATTGACCTCGGTCTGAATAATTCTTGATATCATGCTCAGCCTCATCCAATAATTGCTTAGTATTATTACCCGCGAACCAATGAGTCAAATTTAAGAAACAACCAACTGTTAGAAAGCTGAATGGCTACGCTTTAAAATGAATGTAAACTTTAACGTTTTTGTGTATTATTTGTTTAGCAATTTACATTTCAGTCGAGGATTGCGCTTTTTTTGATACACCCTGTAGACTCCTGGCATAGTTTGCCAGGTGCTTAATTATTTTTTGAAATAAAACTGAACAGCATGGTACGTTAAAAGCGCGCGCAATAAAATGAGAAAAAAATTAAAAAGCGGTTGAATATATCAATACATATATGACAACATATTTAATAAGAAACAAAGAATTACAAAGTGCATGTAAAACACAAATAATACGTGTTTAAAATAATTATGCATAGTTATTACGAAAAATTGAACTGACTATAATTTGCTTATGATTAATATATAAAATTGAAAAGTAAAAGTTTAATTAAATTGCTAATAGTAATACAGTTTATGAATTAAAGTGAGTGCTGTTTTGATTACATAAAATTGACAGGTGAAACTACAGATTGTCTAGTAAGAACAATTTAAATGAGTATGTGTTACTGAAGTGTTCAGATAACGAAGAAAGCAAAAGCTAATGTTGCAGCAATGGCGACGAGACCAGATGTAACTTGGACACCAGAACCAAGAGCTGGGAATTTATCATTACAGTTGTCTGTATCACAACAATCGTAGGAGCAGTCATCAATTTGATTAAGTATCTCCTTTGCCTTACACGTGGCCCTATTTGCTGTGCATGCACCAGGAAGCGCGCAACCTCGTTCGTAGGTGATTTTACCATCATCATCTTTCTCAACCGAAGCAATACATTGTTTCTGTGTTACACCACATGTTTCATTAGCGGTACACGCTGGTGCTGTGTTTTCACCTTCACATTTATAACATGTCAGGCTAGATGCTGTGAAAATAAACAGAAATATCATGAAATAGTTTAGGCCAGGGAACATGACAAATGCGATTTACCGCCTGCTACTGTAGGTTGAGAAGATTACTTGGTTGGGGTAACTATGAATGTGGTTGGTGCTTCGATTGCTTCACTCCAGGTCCTCCAGTTTTGCTCCCTCACCAAAAACCCTTGGGCCGTAGTTGTCAAGCCTGTCTAACATGAACCTCTGGCTCACTTCATGCTCGGTTTTTGCACTTTTACCCCAATGACCTCTTTCGTATTTGGCTGTTTTAGCATGGCAGGAGCATATGAACGTAATATACTACTCCATTTAGAGCATGAGTGCAATAGACAGTGCAGTCTATTGGGCAACCATATCCTGCGTCTATCATGATGACGTCACAAAAATCTTAATTTCTGTTATACTCTGATAAAACGAGGACGAGAGTTGATGACAGTTGGCAATTCTAGATTCCCCTTATTACGTTTTCGTAGCGCTTTGCATTGTGGTTATAGTGGTATCACTGATACAGATAGCCGCCTCGAATGAAAATATTGAATGTTTTCGCGAATATTTTGCTGTTGGCTATCACGCACCTGACCCTAGCTTTTTTTTAAAGTTTTTGCACGGGTCAGGACAAAAAAAAGCCATCTTGAATGTCAGTGATACCACTATAACCACAATGCAAAGCGCTACGAAAACGTAATAAGGGGAATCGTCAGTTGGGGAGAGTTTGCCGAGAACAACATGAGAGTTGGCTAACGATCAAACGAAGCTAAAGAGCAATACTGTAATAGATCAACTATCACGCATCAACTCGCACGACTCATCCTTGTTTAATCACATGCAGCTTGTCAGCTCGGGGCCTAGCCCGCATCTCAGTACACGCGTGCCAGGCCTAACCACCTTGTTTCAAGGAAGTTGGATGCGGGCTACAAGCAGAGCCTGGGCTGTCTTTGGTTTAGTTGGTTTGATTGGGGATTTTATACTACGAACATAAATATCACCATTAGTTCTTCTTGCAACACAGTATATTAAAGGTTGTTAAAACTATGTTATTTGTATTAAATGTTAAAAAGTGATGCAACAAATGTAGACTGAAAACGTTTAGTAAACTCAACAAATAATGTTATTGTATATTCAATTGTGCAGTTTATTTTATACCTGTTAGGAAGCAGCTGACCAAAACAGCTAAGCCAATGACCACAACTTTGCTTGAAACCATTTTAACTCAAATTTCGTTTTACGCTATACAAGAGAAAGACACTTTTACATAAATGTCATAATTATTCGTCAGGACCTTGTATTTCATGTATTTTACTTCGTATTATTTGATTATACATAAACTCACTGGCTTATAGAGTAATAACTAGCTAATTAAACTTCATGGTCAATATATTGAATACTAAATTCATACTTCTCTGCATTTTTTGTCAAGAATACCTAAGAAAATCCACGATCATGAATGTTATGTAGTCTTGGGTTACAAACCCGGCAAAGTTATAAATTTTGCGTTATTAACTTTAATAATATAAGATGCTATATAAAGCTAGAGGCACTGCGAGGCGCAGCCGAGCGTTTTATATCTGATAAAATACGACTACAAGTGCTTTAAATGGCTTAAAAAACGACTCATCTTATATGAGTTCATTGGCGAAGTAATTTTTAAAATAAACTTTGTCTAAACCGAGAAAATCAAAGCTAAAGGTTATGTAAATTAACATGATTTTTTATCACATATAAAGATACGAAACGCTTATATTTTTCTTTGTGTTTTCCTCCTGAATTATTAATGATTTTTTAAGTTATGTGTTCATGCATTCATACTCTTCCCGGCAGAGCAAGACAAACCTTTGCTAATTTCTCATCCAATTTTTATCCGCATATTTAAGTATTTAACCAAAATTTAGCCAATTTGCCCTTGGGTAATGTCCATTAATCCCACAAATTTTCGTTTTAATACGTTATATAGTACTATCGTGCTCACCAGGGGCGGCGCTAACCCTCTTCGAGGGGAGTGATCTTTTGCCGACTGTTGTTTGGTAATTTTGCCGAGTCATTAGCCTATAGTAAATGTGCATATTTAAATGCGCTTTCAGTACCCTCTATTAAGCCGGTTTTCCACTAGAGAATTTTTCCGCGCGAAGCGTCCTTTTTCCTTTGTCGGCATCCATTTTGCAGCCCTCGAAAACCATCAAAATTGAGGTCGGCAAAAAAGAGCCGACCTAAATCTGACCTAGGTCGGCATGTCTCGGCATTTCTTAAAATCTGTTTCACGTCTTGGAGCACTATTAATCGCCAGGGAAGCCGGAACTTGGGGGGCAAGAGGGGCAGCTGCCCCTCTTGCCTTTTTCTAGGAGGGGCAATGGGGGGGGGGGCAGAAGTGCCCTTTTAGTTATAAAATACTACCTGATAAATCACATTTCCAGTGATGCTTTTTGGGCAAAATCATGAGGTGTGATCTTGAATGTGACCTGATTAAGTGCGTTTGCTTTCATTGGCAAGTCAACACATAATTGTAGGTTTATATCTTCACCGTGGTCTATAGAGGTGCCCTATAGAGGTGCTCTATAGAAGTGATATCGAGGTTGCAAATAAAATTAATGACAAGTTTCTGGACCACTCCAAGAGTTTCAACCGTTGCAAATCACAGTACCAAACAACGACTCCATTTCAAATGTCCTCACAGTGTCTGAACTGGACGTCTGGAATTGTTTAAACTCACTCAATCCCTGGAAGTCAGGTGGGCCTGATAATATCCCGTCTTGGGTTCTTAATAATCTTAAAGAATATGCAATGATTCTCTCATTACCATGAGTGATGAAAATCATAAACAGTTCCTACACTGAAAACAAACTACCTCCAATTTGGAAACAAGCAAATATCATCCCAGTCCCAAAGGTGACGCCAGCTCATGACATTAACCAACATCTTAGACCCATTTCGTTAACTCCTCTACTTTCTAAAGTCGCCGAGGAATTCGTGGTTATTAAGCATTTAAAACCCGAAATCCTTAAAGTTTTAGATGTAAATCAATATGGTGTTATTCCCGGCTCGTCCACAAACCAGGCGCTTATTAAAATGATTCATAAATGGTCGGCGAAAAACAGACGGTGCTAGAGCCTCAGTAAGGGTTGTTTTGGTTGATTACCAAAAAGCTTTCGATTATGTAGACCACACCATCGTCCTATTTAAACTGAAATCCCTCTAAATCCCTGATTCCACTGTTAGTTGGATTGCAGATTTCCTGAGTGACAGACAACAACGAACCAAATTGGGACACGACTGTTTTTCGGAGTGGGGGAATGTCCCAGCTGGTGTCCCTCAAGGAACCAAGCTGGGTCCGTGGTTATTTATATTGATGATAAACGATCTAAAAACACGTTGTTTAGACGAGGTAAAATTCGTAGACGATCTAACGGTATATGAAACAGTAACCAGATTTGGTTCAAGTGATATCCAACATGCAGTGTCCGAAATTGAAGAGTGGTCCGAGTCAAACCTTTTCAGGTTGAATGAAAACAAATGCAAAGAATTGCGGATAGACTTTGCGAAAAATAGAAATCCCTTTCCTCCTATTAAAATTAATGGTAAACCTTTACAAGTGGTGGAAGAAGCAAAATTACTGGGTCTTACTATCGCGAACAATTTGAAGTGGAATAGTCATGTCAATAACATAGTGACAAAAAGTTCCAAAAGGATTTACCTTTTAGTGCAGCTGAAACGAGCAAAAGTCGCAATTCAAGATGTTTTACAATTCTATACCGTATGTATCCGCCCCATTCTGGAATACGCTTCCACTGTTTTCCACTACTCTTTACCTAAATACTTGAGTGATGAAATTGAACGAGTACAAAAACGGGTTCTTCGAATTGTATATCCAAACTTACATTACGAAGATGCATTGATGGAAGCTGGGATGGAGTCATTGTACGCTAGAAGGCAAATTGCCTGCAATAAACTTTTTAATCAAATTTTAAATAACCCGAACCATAAACTTCATAATTTAATCCCTAAAATAGATACTTCATTAAATTATCAATTACGAAACAACAAGAAGATACATGTTCCGAAATTCTATACTGAACGTTTTAAGAATTCGTATGTCATCGCTAGTTGTTTAGACATAAATAATCGTAATTCAACAAATTAGTGTTAGTTTTAATATTTATAATCTTCTTAGTAAGCCATAGCATAGGTTGTAATTTTTTAAATGTAATATAATTTGTATTCAGTCTTATTTATATTGTAATCGCTTACCAATTCAGTATTTGTACTGCAAAAAGTAAATTATTAAACAATCTATCTATCTATCTATCTATCTATCTATCTATCTATCTATCTATCTATCTATCTATCTATCTATCTATCTATCTATCTATCTATCTATCTATCTATCTATCTATCTATCTATCTATCTAGTATCTATCTATCTATCTATCTATCTATCTATCTATCTATCTATCTATCTATCTATCTATCTATCTACCTATCTATCTATCTATCTATCCTATGGTGTGCGTTTGCCCCCCTTGCCTTTTTATCGTTCCGGCGTCCCTGTTAATCACGCATTTACGAATCATTGAAATTGGAATATAACTGGAACGTTGCCTCCAGCCAGAAAATTCGAAAGTTGAAGCCAAATTTTAACTCCAGACGCGCGAAATTTGATCTTCAGACACCTAACGTATACAGCTATTTCAATTAAGGTTGTCCCGGAGCAAAGCAGAAAAGTCGAATACGAGCGCGAAAGGCTGCTGGGAATCGCTATGAAAATTCATTAATTTTTTAGGGATTCCCAGCAGCCTTTCGCGCTCGTATTCGACTTTTCCGCTTTGCTCGTGGACAACCTTAATTGAAATAGCTGTATACACAATACCTGTCAATTTTTAAACCTTACACCGCAGTGTGTTGAGTTTATCTATTAGTCGACTGTCGAGAGTTAAATGTCGAGGGCGAGGGTAAAAAGTCGAGGGTGAGGGTAAAAAGTCGAGGGTGAGAGTAAAAAGTCGAGGGTTAAATGTCGAATATTACATGTCGAGGGTGAAAAAATCACAAAAAAGTACTATATTAAGGTCAGGTAACCGCTTCGGATAAGGAAAGAGCGAGGTCTATGACTATGTGTCTTCTCGGCCGTATTGACTATTGAGCACTTTAGTAAAACTCCTATCGTTAAATTTTAGACAGAAACTCTTAGTAAGTTTATTTTTTATTGGTTTAAAAGTGCTCAATAGTCATATAACAATACTGCCGAGAAGATACACTACACATACACCTCGCTATTTCCTTATCCGAAGCGGTTACCTGATCTTAATATAGTATTTTTTTGTGATTTTTTCACCCTCGTCCCTCGACATGTAATATTCGACATTTAACCTTCGACATGTTACCCTCGACATTTAGCAGTCGACATTTAACCCTCGACTTTTTACCCTCGACTTTTTACCCTCACCCTCCAGTTTTTACCCTCGCCCTCGACTTTTAACTCTCGACACTCGACTAATAGATAAACTCCAGTGTGTTCAGTTAATCGAACTACGAATCGAATTCTATAATCGCTGACTTTTTAACAGCTACCAGCACCAAACAAATTCTTACTTTGGTTGAATTAAGGTCGGCAAAAATTTGCTGACCGGCTTGGAATGCCGACCTCGTTTTCGAGGACTGATTTTGCCACGTCTTGCTGACGTAATAAGTGATACCGACAAAGGAAAAGGTCACTTCGTGCGAAAAAAATCGCTAGTGCATGCAAAACCGACCGCTTTATTGCCTCTTTTATAGAACAGTATAATAAGCAACAACAACTGAACAACAACAACCAAACAAATTTAGTTAGAAAGAATTTGCATTGCTGCATGTGTGGTTTCTGTGATGCATGCTAGTCGTGATATTCGGTTTGAATTAAATTATTCAGGAAGTCAAGTTTGGTTTCTTCAGTGGTTATTTTTAGCCAATCCAGTTTTGCTGACTGAGATAATAATTTGCCGATTTGCTGACGAGTGGGGGGTGTTCCACCCCCGCACACCTCCCCCCCCCCCTGTAACGCCGCCCCTGGTGCTCACAGACAAACACATGCACAGATATACAAACGCTGATGAAAACATGTTAGATAGGATCCGAGTTAGCTTTATCAATTTTTCATCTTCTTATTGACGGAAATGGACCCCAGAATTGAAATCTTCGTGCTCAAATTATATTAGTCTAACTGAAAATTTCATGTTTGGATAATCAGGGCGCAAGTTATACCCTGGGACCTGGGTTCAAGAAGCTCAGAAAGTTCGCTGCCCTTCTCAAAAATCTGACAACATCTCCCATCCAGGATGCGCGAGTTATGGCGATTTGTTAATGTTTTTCCTATACATTTGACTGGCATTTCTATGCAGTCAAATTTACTGTTTAAAAAAAATGAATATTCAAAACGTTGTAAATCGCGACCTAACTGTCCAAACAACATGATATTTTCGGTATACGGACTAATTTGAACATGAAAATTTCAATTTTGTGGACACTTTTGGCAAAGATTGGTAGATAGCGAGATGGAAAATTGATGACGTAATAAACTCGGATCAGAAAATAGCTAAGGATTCCATTCCCACCCAATTACTAACCTATTAGGTCATAATTGGGTGGGAATGGGATTTGGGTTCGGATTAGAGTATAAAGGAAAAGAAATGGGGCTAGGACTGTATGAATATCGACAATCGTCACCTAGCTTATTAGGGAAACAAGTCGACAAATTGCCGCTTGTTTCAATCAGGGTGATAGTAAATCTTGCCCATGTATCTCAGTCATGCGGAAAAGAATTTTGAATTGGGAATAGTGAAATAGCAATAACATATATAGGTCAAGGCTTCGAAATTAAAGTGAATTGGTTTGTTCATTGAAAAGAAAATCGAAAAGCTTGTCAGTTGAAAAATGTTATCGTGACTTATTATCTCTGCGGATTGTGTCGTGTTGCGGCATTGTGTATAGTAATTAATCATCCATGTATTTTTATAGCTCCGCAGGCTACGCCTATATTCTCGTAGTTTCTGCTATGCTTGGACCTCAATTGCTTTAAATTATAACGTGTTATGGCAAAATGTCAAAAAATAAGTACTTATGCCTATACTGAATCGTACATGGATCAAGCAAGCTGGCCATCGCAAGGTCACCCTGGCTGGTCACCTCGGTTTTAAATTGCTTTTTAATGTCTTAGACTTAGTTATATTCGTTTTAGTTTGATTGTGTTTATTCTGATGTCAATAACAACATAAATGGAAATAACTGCTAGCATCATGGTAGATAAATGGCTCTAAAACTAGCCAAGGTCGTGAGACATGAGGTTCTTTAGACGTTTAGTCAAGACGATACACTCCTCGAGTGGATATATTAAATTTTATGCTCACGTTCGTCATTATAAGTACGGATCAAACAAATCGTTTGATTGATCTTTGCGACTACAGTCAGTACAGATCTGATCAGCCCCTCAAGCATGCCGGATGGAATCACACAGATAGGGAACGTTCCAAATAAGCAACAACATTCAAATAATTGTGTAATATCTTGAGAACGTACTTTTGGAAAGATTTATAAGGACATTCCTTTTTGCAAGTCCACACCCTCTGCTGTTTCATCATAATTTCATACTGAAGCCGTGATGAAATAAAATGACTTTGATTTGTCCTCTAATGCATAATGCTATGTTGAAAACCTAGTTGCCCAATTTGTCGATTGACGTTTACATTAAAGCATGGGTACTACGTATCAATGACAATATAGAAAATGATGACACATGCATTTAATTCTGCCAATAAGAACATTTAATTTATAGACTAACGTCAACTGCAGTGTCACAATTAAGCCAGTATACATGTAAAGTAACAATATACATTAAGCAACACAGTATATCATTGAAGTAAAATAACTTGAAAAGTCAGCAATTGAAAATTTTATGGATGATTGCTCCGATGTGATAACGCCTATATTGTCACAGGTTAATATATAAAATCTTCTGAAGCAGCATATTGACGGCTGATGAAGATTTGTCTCAGACGTCGTTTTCATATAAAACTTCTAGTCACGAAAGTCCAATAAAAGAGATTTACACAGTATATAAAAGCTCGGGTGAATTGATTACTGAATAGGGAGTTTATATACGGCGAGTCAAATAGCAAGTTCATTTACTAGTTCGATACCGTTAACGCGTTCTTATAACTGTTTTGAAGTTAGTAAAACCAAATTTATTAGTTAAATCTTCGCTTTAAATCGCCTAAACTTGCATTATCTTGCGACGAGTCATCGACCCAGATCTGCCTTATAGTCAGAAGTTACTCAAATGGGTAGAAGGCGTGATAGGACGCAAGCTATAGGATTTTTCAATTTCCATAAAATAAATTAATCATTATGATTAATGAAACTTACAGTCATTAGAGAAAGATGTCAACTTACCGAATACTGGGTTATATTTCTGTAGTATCAAAGTCTGCTTTCAACGTTGCTTCCTTTGCCAAGGTATTATACACACTGTCAGTTCACACAATATCTCACAGTTATATTGTAAAGAAGAATGTTTATATGGGCATTGGAATGTCTTGAATATAAAATGTACTTTAAATGGAGGGGGAGTGGGAATCTACATAAAATCATTGACTTGTGAGGGGCTCCCAGGGAACAAGGCATTTTACTGGAAGAAGGTTACAAGGCATATACTTTGTAGGCAATGCATGGAAACAAGGGAACAAAGGTAAAAAAGGGATCAAGGGAACATGTAAGCTGGGCCAGGGGAAACTAGGGAACATGGTGAAATCTTTCTGGGGAACAACTTTGTTCCGAACAAGTGAATACAGACACCCTCCCCTCATTACCTGGGACGAGCCCTGAGAGACCTTCTCTCGTATATTCTGAAAACCAGTCTCCCAAAATAATATGGAGTGCGTTGAAAAACATGGCGTAAGTGTTTTGAAAATAAACTTTATACGTTATTTTGTTTGCACTGTTTAGTAAAATTTAAAAATATAAAATAGGTCTTGATTCCTTTGTGATTAATCTACTTTCTGTTTGCTAAAAATACATGGCAGTTGAAAACTGACGTATACTTACAGAGTTTTTATGACTTCATCCTCGATTTCATGCAGGCAAGGTTTATGCCAGCTAGTCAACATATATAGTATTGGTTGGTCATTGCTCCTAGCCCTAGATGAATGGCACCCCGCATAGTCATAGTCATAGGCATAGGCATAGGCTGATACGATTTGTACGAAATACTAGCAGAGTAGAATGAATATACATTCATGCTCGTTCAATAGTGCATAATATGCTGCCACTGATACCGGCATTAAAGAAAGCCTGGAACTCAAAAAAGTAAAGAGCATCGTATAAACATGCAATGCAGAAGTTATGCAGGCCGCCAGGCCGATGATTAAAAACAATGACACTGCAATAAATAACTGCTCCCAAAGTCAGCGGTGGCAGTGCAAATCTCAGTCGTCATTCAAAGTTTTTCAACTCTTGGACAGTGGATATATATAGCCATAGGATAAAATAATTGATCTATTGCACTTTCAACCAATAAAGACTGTAATATATTATATAGTTGCCACTGCCCAACTGCTTACGATAAAACATTCTTTGACCAAAGTCGAAGAAAATTCGAGATATGCGTGCAAACCTACTTTAAAATGATAATTGATAATTCAATTTAAAACAACAGGTATGTGTAAATATTGATAACTATCTGTCTTTTGTCTTCTTTATGTTTAGTCTCTTCAAATTACAATACTAAAAGCTTTTTAATTAAAAAGGTTCTTTAGCATTAACTTTATCATTTCAGACTTCGCGGAGAATACACCACTAAATCTAAGCCAAGGCCCAAGTGAAATTGTGTTGCGTCATTGCCATTGATTGGCATTGCTCCTTAATAAATCAATATAGATATTTAACAAGTTTTGTTGTGTCGTGATGTTGGCGTCAATTGTATATTCGTTTATATTTGAAAAATGACAAAAATGTGCGATAAATATTCTTCTTCAGTATATTACAATATACTTTGCCTTCCGACTAAAATGACCAGAAAACTTCTCATTGCCTTTGATAGATTTGCTACAAGTCGACTCGCACTACTCGTATTCAGTATAACGAGTAAAACGAGTGAGTAAATGAGCTCAACCGCGAGCTTATTAACAGGCTTATTAACCCAGTAGGGGGACGTGACAAGCCTGGGAACGGGGTTGGACAAGAAACAGCTTTGAATTTTACACTTTATAATTATAAAGAACTATACGAAACTGCAACGAAGACCGCCAATAATATCATATTAATGCAGGAAAATGAGCAGAAATTAACAATTAAAATACCACGGGAGTTTAGACGTCGCCATTGCTTATCATCATGTCTTGTATATAACGGTTACATTTCAAGCTGAGACCACTGCTACTTTCAAATGGGTTCTATAGAACATTCTCAATTATTAACCCTGTGTTAACGTTGTCGTTGATCCTGAAATTGCATTATTTTTCATACGATGAATAATAGACGACAGGTTTGCTTCTGCAATTAGTTTGGTTGGCAACCAGTTTGTTTGCCGTCGCCGTCGCATTAGTCTATGCCTTAGTCTATGCCTTAGTAGTCGCATTAGTCTATGCCTTTGACCGCATGCAAAAGTTATACCGGCGTAATTAAGGCCCCTTCCCCCTTTCTTTCCTCTCTTGTATTAATGTCCATCCCCCCCCACGAGAAGAAATATATTAGATTTGTTAATTTTCGGCTCTGTTCACGTTATCGTGCACTTGTTTGTAATTTACATCATAACTCAACCCTTATGGAAACAAGGTGTGGAATTGGAACATTTCAAAATGCGCATTTCAGATATTATTATATCGGATCGTGCGCATGATCGTGCGTCATTGCGTCACTACGTAGTGAGTTTTAATTACGCATGTGTAGTGAGGTGATACGGATTTATGAAAACTGCACATACAAATGCGCACGACCACAATTCCATGCGACGCTAAAAATCTGCTTTTTTACTGCCTACCGCACGCAGAAATTTTTTTGGGATCACTTTCTTTGGGAGCTTGGTAACCGCGCCTGTTATGATGCAATATAGGAAGCCTGCACAGCAGGAAATAGATTGCGGTCGAATTCTTTGACGCGACTTATATATTGTATACTTATTCACATTAATATCGCTGCGATATTGCATGCATGCATGTCATTGTAATTATAATTAGTATTTTTACACAAGCGAATATAAGAAATCCGACGTGGTGATAAGATGATTGGTAAATAATTTGACGTGACATTCCCTTTTAGTATTTTTGCACAAGTGAACATAACAAATCCTACACGTTGATTGGTCAAATTTGACGATGGCGGCTATCCGTTTGGTGGAAGTTTACTGACAAAGAAATAAGCGAAATTAAAATAAATTCAGTCTCAAAAAACACAAAAGTTGGTGTAAAAATGCTAAAACAATTATTCGCCTCAGGCTCGGTGATTATCGGGGAATCAGATATTCACCTCGACTTCGCAGTAGCTATATCCGTAGAATAGTTTTATCTTAGTATCACTTTACCTGTTGAAGACTGCAGAAGACTGCAGTTGAAAGCTAGTCAAATAAATTTTACGATAAGAGAACGTTTCAGAAACTTTATTATTTGGGTCACCATCTATGAACTCTCCCATGGGCCACCACACCCGCTCGGCTCGCACAGGGCCGTTGCTTTGAACATGGCTATTTTTGTTTCAGGTTTTATATCATGACTATTCCATATACGATCTCTGAGTCTTCCAAAAGAGGAGCTGGCTTTTGCTATCCTTCTTTCTGATTTCTTGGTCTAATTGCGCATCATCATTGTGCTACCACGATACGGGAATGTTTTAGTTGCTTTCAGTTTTTTCCGTTCACAATGATTGCTGGTTTATCTAGAAGCACTCCTACATGGCGGTGGTTGGCATAGTAGTACTTCTGCCTTTGTGTACGGCCCTGGCGGTAGCATGCCAAAGTTGGATTACTTTTTTTATTATTATACACCCTGTTAATTCCCTGTTAAAGATGGGGTTAGGTCTGTTCTGCGCATGTGCTATGTGTCTGGTGTGAACAATCTCCAAATTTCGCGTTGTTTCGACATCTTTTAGGGAGTGTTCATTATTTATACCCGGGGTTGGTACCGAAGAGAAATGGGTTGGGTAAGCCATTTTTCTGGGGTATGAATTAAGGGTTAGGTAAATATTTTTTGAACAAAGCCTATGGTTGGGTAAATTATTTTCAATACAAACCTTCAATTGAACAAAATATGAAAATCCTTTATTTAACAAAATGTGTCATTCCAGGAAATATTCATTCATTTCCTACAAAGAAAACTAAACTCCAACCGGGATGGGGCATCCCCTCTGATTACAACAACGAGACATAGTAGGACTGCAGGAACTTGGAGGCTTGGGAACATAATATGAACTTGTGAAGGTACAAATGATTATACTTGACATTCAGTTAGTGCACCAAATATGCATAGTACTGTTTATACTATAGTGGCCTAGCTTGTATAATAATATATATGTAGGTATGTAAAATACTTGTATAATTTTGAAATTGGGTTGGGTAAAATAAAAATCCAAGTCATGCAATAGTTGGGTAGGGGAAAAAATGGTTGACCGAAAGGGTGAGTGGTTGTTGTTTTTTCTCTTTTCGATTAGTTTCTCTTCGGTACCAACCCCGGGTATAAATAATGAACACTCCCTTACTGAAAATGTAATCTATGTTTATTTAAAAACATATAGCAAACCAGAACAATGTTAGTTATAGTACGGCTAAGTGAATCGTGTTTTATGACTTAACCCCTTCTTCGAACATTGGCCCGTTGTGCGTTTTGGTTTCCCAAAACAATATATATTAATCCTAAGATGCTTTGCAGCATCTGCATACATTACATCTCTCTTTCTTACTGAGAGAAAATTAATAATAAACTTGCTAACACTGATGAGTTTAAACGACATAAATTGATCAAAAACAATTATAGCTATTCAGTTTTTTTTTTAACTGTTCGCAATTACTAGGTGTCACTAGTTATGATACTTTAAAATTAAAGGTATAGTTACCGTTTTTTAATTGTCTATCAAATACTCAGGTGGTTTGCTTGCACGTCCAGATCTTGATGCAACTGGTTTTTCTTCTTGATAAAGCACTGCTCCTTTTGAACCGGCATCTACAGATAAGGTAACAGGCTTCTTGAGATCATAATAACTTAGTACCGGGGCACTGGTTGCCATTCTCTTGAGTTGTTGAAAGCTATCTTCTTGTTGCTTTGCCCAATGCCATGCTGTGTTCTTTTCCAGCAGCTGTCGAAGTGGTGCACTGGACTTCGGTCATATTGGGTAAAAACGTTGCGAGGTATTGGATAAACCCGAGATTCTCGGCCGAAAAATACTTTGTGTTGGATGGTTTGGTCATGGCTTGTACAGCTCTTATTTTCTCTAGATCTGGCTTGAGACCGTTCTTGGTTAGAAGATGACCAACATAATTATGCAATTTCTTCTTTTCTGATTTGGCACTTCTTCTGGTTGCTTTAGGTTGACTTCTTGGACTCGGTCGAGGACTTTCTTCAACCTTGCATCATGTTCCTGGATATCCTTCCCCCTACCAAGATATCATCTACTACTATTGCTTCAGCACCATCAATGTCTTCCAAGTTCCAACACCTGTGACATTTTCTTTTGGAAAACCTCCGGGCCCGATTTAATTCCAAGTGGTAGTCGTGTGAAGCGGTAACGTCTAAAAGGCGTGTTGAAAGTGCAACATTCAATTTCATTTGCCATTATCCTGAAGTGGCGTCTAACACGGAGAACACTTTTGCTTCTGGCATTCCAGCTACAACTTCTTCAATCGTTTTCATTGGATATAATGTTTTCTTTTTATCGCTCGATTAAGATCTCTCGAATCAATACACCTCACTCGGATTTTCTCGGGTTTTATTACTGTAACCATGCTGTTGACCCAATCTGTGGGTTCTGTTTGCTTGACAGCAACACCAGCATCTTCCATCCTCTGTAATCCTTCTTTGATCTGCTCTTTGAGGGATAATGGGACTCTCCCTGCTGGGTGGACAACAAAGGTATATGAACCATCAATTTCAATGGTATGTTCACCAGGCAAACATCCATCCAAGACCAGTAAAAAACTCATCGTATCCTTTCCACAGTTCATGTTGTTGGGTTGGGTTGAATTCTGGTGGCGAAAAGGGATCTGTGTTTTGATGATCTTGTGATTTCGAAGTCTCCACTGCATGTACTCTTTCTACTAGACCCATTTCTTTACATGTGTTGGCAATGAATACTGGTGGTGCTGGAATATCAACAACGTGGAACTTTACTTGGTATGTTTTTTTTGTACTCACATGATAAAGCAGTTACTCCTTTCGTGGTGATGACATGACCAGAGTATGATTTGAGCTGTGCCTCTGGTTTCTTTATGTTTGTGTTAACTCCAAGACGTTGAAGATCTTTGATAGAAATTACATTACACCTTGCACTTGTATCGAGCTTAACGATTACAGCTTTTTTTCGCAATCGATCTTTACATCTTCATACCATTCATTCTTATTTATGGCATCTGTAGTTCCCACAGCGCCAGTATCTGTATCAGTATACTCTCTTCAGATTCCTCTTCTTCAACCCCATGGACTTGCCTTTTTCTTTCCTTGAGCTTCGATTTACACATTCTTGCAAAATGGTTAAGCTTTTTGCATTTTGCACACGTCTTTCCTTCTGCTGGACATTTATTTTGGTCATGCTTTATACCACACTTGCTGCAGTTGTCTATAACCGTCTCTATAACCGTCTCTCTCTTGTCATCCCTATATTGGAATTTTCTCTCTCTCTTTCTTCTCCGAGGCGGTGGACATTTTTATCTTCAGATGCCATACTTTGAAGCTGAGTGTTTGACATTTCTTGTGTTCGAGCGATATCAATTGCCTTTTCCAAGCTAAGGTTAATAGTTCAGAGCCTATGACTAGGAGTTATATCGGACCACTTGACAGTTATTTCTAGTAACATATTTTAGTTTATTTTTACCTTTATTTTTACCCTGGAAAAACTGCCATCTGAAGTCCCCAGCTTTTTTAGCCCTCCCCCTCCCCCTTCTATAATTACCACCTGTCTAGAAGCGTTGAAACAACAATGCCCAGACCTCTATTTAGCTCCCATCCTATCCTAATATCTATTGTAATCGAGTTACTTTCCATATGAATTTATCAGTAAAATATTGACTCAAACATATCGGCAGCGTTCACTAATAATGCCGTGTATAGAACGTTCACTGATATGGCTAAATAATGGTAAATTGTATGGAAACGTCTTAAAATGTTCCTCTTGAATGATTATTCAGTAACTTGGAAGAATGTGAAAATTTATTTAGCCCCCAGCCTCCATTTACCTCCCCGTTCTAATAAGCCCCCAGTCAAGAACCACCCCCCGGAGGGGCCATATATTTTGAACATTTTTAAAAATATTATTGCCCAAATTACATAGTTATTTACATTTTTTTCCTTTTGAGATACTTTTAGAGGGCTAGAGACCTTTGGAAACCTGTATATGCTTGTATTTAAAACCCCTATATTTTTATATGAGTAAAAATCAAATCACTAAATGATTCATAAAACCAGTATACTGTCAAGAGTACTGTCAAGTCTTAGGGACCATTCGTTATTTATGACCGGGGGTGGGCTGGCAAAATTCAATTAACAACTAAACAAAATGTCCTGCCCCACCCCCTGCATCACAAAAAAATTCAATGACCCCCTTCACATGAATTCTAAAAAATAATACCTCCCCCCAGTCCCCACCACCACCACCGACAATATAATAAATGTTAAAATGTACAGTACTGTATAGAAATGCGCTCTTTAAACTTATTCGGTAAAAGGCATCAGCTCTTTCATTTAATAACCCATTTGGCTGCAGCCGGTTTTCTGTTGACAAGTAAAATCGTCTGGCGTTAAACAAGTAAAAAAATAAGTACTGGAGCGCAATGGGTTAACTAGAGACATTGTCAGATTTTTTTATTAACCCATTAAGCTTCAGAGCGCCGAAGAGGCTAAAGCTGGGGGTCATACCATTTTTCGTTACTAAGAGTGTAGCAAAAAGTTGCTCAAAAATGAAAAAGTTGCTTGAAGTTGCTCGAGCCGAAAAAAGTTGCTGCAAACGCAAAAAGTTGCTCAAAAGTTGCAGAGCACAATTAGGACATGCCTAGCAGAGCTTCCCCGTTGACGAGTAAAATCGGTTAGGAATATGGGGTTAGGAGTAGGGTTAGGGTTACAGTGCTGTAGGAAGCTCTTTTAATTTGATTGGGGAGCTGAAAGCGAGGGCCAAAGGCCCGAGGAAATTTTTAAATTTAGAGTCTCTGAAATGCCATTTCCTGGACTTTGGGGAAGATTTGACAGAATTCTGATTGTCAGAAAACAGCATTTTAGTATGTCGAAATTTACAATTTAGTAGCACGAAATGGGCGAAGGCGTATTTAATTAACTATATATTGGATAAGTTGCAGGAAAGTATGAGAAATATCTTCATTCTTTGCAGTTTGTCATGGGTAATGTGAACCGCTTAAAATTAATCAATTGTTAGTATTTTAAATGTATATTATTTAAATGATAAAGGTCTGCCTGATTTTAGAAAAAGAATGATTAGCATGAATGAGAATGAAAAAGAATGATCTGCATGATTTTGGAAAAGAATGATTAGCGGTTGCTATGGCCCTGGGTTAGGAATAGGGTTAGGGTACTACGTCAATGAACTAGAAAGACCGCTAAACAGCTAGTGACTCGGACATTTGACTCAGGCTTGGATTTGACTCGGACTTGACACGGCAAACCAACAAATTCCTTACTAAATTAAACCATGTATAAAATACCTAGTATAAACTAGTATATGCCAAACTTTCCCTGGACGTAAACGTAATGTTGCTACATCACTTACTCGTTAATTATCTTTTTTATTAAAATGTACATATTAATTGGAATATGACAAAAATTTATGGCAAGTTCATGGCAAAAGTTATAAAGGTAGATGTTCGATTATTTTTCATATTAGCTGCGCGCATTGCATTTTGGGTCTATCTGTTGATTAAAATTGAGAATTTTGCTAGCTATACATGAATTAAATTTGCTGCTTTGCTCGCTCTCTGTGGTAGCAATAATCGTTACATGTCAAATTTTTCTCCACTATAATACCACTATAATAAATAACTGTACCCCCTTCTGAACCAATATTTTTAGGTGGCCCCCCTTTTTCAGTCAAAATACCTCATGACCCACTCCCTTTTTTTGCCAGCCCACCCCCAGTCATAAATAATGAATGGTCCCTTAAGACTTATAAAGGACAGTTTCCGACAGAACCGTTCGGTCATAGTTTTGACTCACAAGGACATCAAATTTCCCTCTAGCCTGCGTGGCAGGCGATTTTTAGGGAGGCGAAGGCTAACCTCACCATTCCGGATCTCAATTGTTGACACTAAAATGACACGAGCTATGTAGAGATCTCGTGATATGTTAAATAACATAGTTTGCAATAAGGATTTATCTGCAATTAATTTTGAACTTTAACAGATGACACTCAAATCTAAATGTCTTTGCCAGCTTTGCCGTAAATTTTTCACGTAAATTTTTCACAAAAATTCCAGTAAATCGTTCACGAAATTCTTGTCAAAACATGTGCTTGTGAAATGTACACACTGGTAATTTAAAATAAACAAAACAGAACTAACAGAAGTAGGGATCTAGTTTCGTTTTAGTCCAGCCTGGTTTTAGTCTTTTAGATCTGTAATTTTAATTTTGCGCGATTAATAATTCAAAAAATATTTGATTTTATTGCGCAACACCTATATCCTGTATCTATACTTGGTCTTACACGAAGTAGGAATCCAGAATTACACCAGAAAAGGTTTTAGTCAGATCGAAACGAAGTTCATAGTATAGTACTTTATAAACCCATGAGCTAAAAAGAGAAAACCAATGTCAACAATTAAAAATAATTCAACGTTGTCTGGTCAGATGACCAAGTCTTGTGACAGTGACATGGCCTCGTTATTTACCAATCACAAGGCACTCATTAACAGGTCTTCGACAGAACTAACAACTCGTCGACCATGAAAGTCCTTACATTCCGTATTCTAGCTATACTTTGCTGCACCTTCGTGCAGTGTTATAGCTCGCCAGATTGCACGGATGATGCAGATTCGAAACGTTTCGACTGCTATCCCGACGAAGGCGCCGCTGAAGACAAATGCGAGAGTCGGGGATGTTGTTGGAAACATGCAACAAATGCATTACTCGGAGGAAAAGTTCCACTCAATGTACCATATTGTTTTTATCCAAAAAAATTTGGTTATGAGCTTGTAAAGCAGCAAGAAACCGACACAGGATTTCTACTTGATCTAGAGATGCAACAGAAAGGACCATTTGGTGGGGATATTGCGAATCTTAAAGTCGATCTTCGTTTGGAAACAGAATATCGCGTTCATGTTAAGGTACTTGACTACTTGTTAATATTTTTAATACGGGTTTATGTCCTTTCAAGTGAGGTAGAAATGTCATTTATAAACGCAAAACGCATGTTAGCTACAATGTAATCTGATACTGTTCATACATAATCTCGCACAACTACTTATGCAATCTCTCGCCTCATTCCCCTAGTACATATTAAGTTACAGTTTAATTGAAAATTAATTAAATTTAGTTTAATTGAGAATTAATTAAATGCTGCAAGTTGTGGGCAGCAATTTTTCTGCTTCTTCGAACTGTTTCAAAATTAAGGTAGACCAGGTCTGGTGAAGACCAGGTCTGGTTCATTGGATAAGCCCCAGACAGTAGGAAATATGGTGCATAATAATGTTGTGGATGGTTTGGAATTTGCCAAGTGGCCAGCTAGGGCATGGGTTTGATTTTAAAATAACATTTATTTGATGCAGCTGTGCCGCCAGAATTATGGGAGCAATTAGGGCAGTATAAAGTCGGTTGATTTATATATGCATACAATATACTAGCTTATTTAATTAAAGCGTTATTCTGAAATCTAACTCGATCATCTTAAAAATCTCAGGAAATGCAATACCAGTACCAGTTATTAGCCCTAGGCTCTTTTAACTATTAAGGTGAGTCATTCCTGCCATCCTGAGCCATTTCTGCCATTTTTTCCTGATGAGTGAAATCGTCCAGCATTTGACATTTTAAGAGGCATTGTCTGCAAGAACGGTCCAGCGAATTCGGACTCAATTTTCGTTTGGCTTCGTAGTACATCTATAACTTCCTTGATGTATCCTGATTCAAGATTGTTCAAATAGTCATTTCCTGAAAATTGTCTTATTTTTTTGTTTATCCTCAAATATATTAGACATGTTCAGGGTTCCAAAATGGCGCTCATGATTAGGACAGATATTTACAATTTTTCTAACTTTGCACCGAAGTCATGCGAGGGTCTACAGAACATGTATCCGTGTTTTTATATTGAATAATGTATGTTCTTTTCACGAAAGTATTAATAAGCCAAATATCTATTTGGAACGGGCGAGTTTAGTGGCAGTAATATTTGCCCCGTTGGAGTCCGTCATTCATGATCGAAAACCTGATGGATTCCATAAGGCGTAGTAAAAAGTGGATTGCTTCTGAAATTTAAATCCTATTAAAATATGTAGATGAATAACTAAGTTATTCATATCAAGTGAGAAAAGTTTTGGTCAAACTCATTTCCCGCAACAAAGGAAGGAGTCTTTATGAGGCAAATCCTCCCCTATACATGCATGGGCGGGCTTATGAGATAGTGTCCTAGCCACTATTTCTTGTTAATGCTCGTCTTAGGTTTATTGGAGAACAATGCTAGTCCATTTAGATAAAATTTCACTTTGTATGCCAGAATTTTGAAAACTGGAGATGGATATTTTTCCATACAAACGCGATTAGGCAGCAATACTTCTCCGCTCGGTGGTCATCTGTCATCAATTAACAGCTCTAAAATAAATAAATAGTAAATACACGCAACAAATCAATAATGTTTGTGTTAAAGAAGGCGTTTTATAACTTTTCTTTCTATTATTTATTAAATAAAAGTATTTTAGACCAATTCCGTCACTGTTCTCGGAAAATAGTTTGTATTTGAAATATTTGGCATGCTTTTTCTTTGTTCTCTTTAGCCATGTCTGGCAAATGTTTTTTTTTAAGTAAGAAGGATCCAAAACAATGTAGAGATGTCGAAGACTGAGTGGGATGTTTTGGCTTTCTTAATGCAATGATAATGCACGGGGACACCTCGAAAGCTTGCACATTTCTGGAGAAATCGTTTCTGAAGTTGAACTGTTTCGTGCTATATGTCACAGGACTTTTGCCCCCAGGAGATTCGCCCGCCCCCCCCCCCTCTCAAAATGGGGGCGATTTTCCTAGGAATATCGTCCGGGGGATATCCTAGGAATATATCCCCCTCCCTTCCCCCATATAAATTTTGAATTTTTGATCTAAAAACAAAACGATTGCAAGTTGAAAAGATTTATTGTGTGATTCATTTATTTTAGCAGTGTTACAGTAACAATAGCCGCCACAGTAATCACTTGTTACCAATAAACTATAGGATTAATAAAAAATCTATGAAATATTGTGTTGTGAAGCGTATGACACATTGAGTCGTCAACTTTCCATGTCAGTGTCAGTGATGTAATGTTGATTCTTGATTTCGGCAACAAAATTGCATGATATATATATTGTGTGGTTTATTCAAATAATTTCATAATACTTTGATTTTATTAGTGCCTTAAACATTTGAGAATGTAACTCTGCAGATTGAAATAACGTTCTCAAAGTTCTCGATGATGGTGATCGGTTGGAAACCGAAACCCTGCTTTCCCACTGATCATAAGCAATTTCTTGCCGATCATTGATCGGTTGTTATTTCAAGCTCGATCTGTCTCAATAATTTTGAATTGATGCTGATTTCAAATGACTAAACCTATGTAATAATTATCCCATGCAACTGTTAGGAAGGGCAAAATTTTTAATGGAGGACGAAAATCCTAAAGGAAAGGTGATGTTTCTAAAGGGGGGCGAATTTCCTAGGAATTTCGCCCCTGGGAGGGCGATATTCTGGGGGGCGAAATTCCTGGGACGCCGGATAACCGCATCCGTATACAGGCCCAAAATCTTGCTCCGAGAAGTACAAATACCTCACATACTGTTTTTTCACATCTTTGCACATTTTCAAGATAATAAGTAATAACATCTCTTCCTTTTACGGATTTTAGGGTCCTGTGTGGGTTGGGTGATATATAAAACGAAATCAGTTCAACTTCAGAAACGATTTCTTCGGAAATGTGCAAGCTTTCGAGGTGTCCCAGCACATTATCATTGCATGAAGAAAGCCGAAATATCTCACTCAGTTCTCGACAGTCTCTACATTGTTTTGGATCCTTCTTACTTAAAAAAAAACATTTGCCAGACATGGTTAAAGAGAATAAAGAAAAACCATGCCAAAAAACGAAGGCGCCGTGTTACTTACATTGAATCAGTTATAGAAACCGGATATTAAAAGAAACATTGAAGTCGACAAAAAATCGACAACTTTTAATTATCAGCGAAATGCATATTATAAACAAAAGCCAAAACTACAAATATATTTCAAATACAAACTATTTTCCGATAATGGTGACGGAATTGGTCTAAAATACTTTTTATTTAATAAATAAAGAAGGAAAAGTTATAAAACGCCTTCTTTAAACACAAACATTATTGATGTGTTGCGTGT